ATAATTGTAACACAAGCATATTTTATTCATTGCTTTAAATATATTCTTTCCTACTTAAGCTTTAGTTCTCTAGAGTGCCAGGTTAAGTCCAATATCCAAACTGTTTAAGAAGACATCATGGTGGCGGGAAAGCTGGAAAGAAAAAAAAAAGGCAGAGGGAGACGTAAGAGAGAAGGTGCCAGGAAATCTAAAAGATCGCCTGTGTCAGAACTGATTGAAAGTACATGATACAAACAGCTGTGGATCGACATGACTAAGAAGATGAAGGCAGACAAGTTGAAAGAAGAAACACAGCTTTAAGTCAACAACTATTAATTATTAGTTAAAAAAAGAAACACAGGCTTCAAGTCAAAAACTATTAATTATAACAAAAGCCACAAAACTATTTAAACAATTCAATGATTAGTAACTAGCTTTGAAGTAGCTAACAAATCTGAGCAAAGCTATCAACAGAACAAAACAAAAACAAAAAAACATCCATATAGTGAGTGACAGAAGGCCATATATAATAGTAATTTACATGATACAGGCATATAACATAGCATCTACAACACACAATAAAATTAGCAGGACTGATAAAGTATTAATGTATGCACATTGAGTAACTAATCTAAAAGTGAGTGCTCATGAAACAGAAGAGGGAAAATAACAACTGAAAATATGCTCCACTCTAGAAGGCAAGGATACAAATGGACAAGCAGCGGACATAAAAATGTGAGATTGTGAAGCCAAACAATCGTATTACCATAGCGTTCAAATCGAGCGCTGGAGCCCCTTTTGGGCAGATGTGCTTCCCCATTTCTTGGGGGGTTGGGTACTGCTAAACAGTTCAACAAAACATGTTAAACACACATGTGTTTTGAATGCCTGAACACACAAAAGCAAGTGACTGTTTCGACTAAAGTTTATGACCAATCTTTTTAACCAATTTGGGATAAAGGTAGCATTACTCATTCTAATGCAAATGTATGATGAGTCTATATTTTTATTTCCTGTCTCTTTCCTTTCAAACTTTTCACAGAAAAGAGAAATCAAATGAATATTGTAATTTATGTTTTATGTCTTTAATATAACTATAGTTGTTATTATTTAATTTTGTTGTTGTTGTAGAGTGGTTTTTTTTTTTTCTTCCAATTATAAAGAATTTGGTCAAAATGTTCACCTGCTGTCGGCGTCTTTTTCTTTCACCAAAGCTTTCAGTTGCCTTTTTATGTGTTCAGAAATTGTTTGTTTCAGCTCCACTACAGCCCCTTTCAATACCTACTTATAAGCTGGACATGTTCATTTACTCGCTACACTGCATATTACCAACAGGCAGGAGATTGTGAAGCTCAAACATTTAATTTAACTTCACTTGACTTTTCTGGTGCTCGAGGACAGCTTAATTAGTTATAAATTAACATGAAATAAACTCTACAAATGGACTGTATGGGGTGCCAATAGTTAACTCTACAAATGGACTGTACAGGATGCCACTAGTTAACTCTACAAATGGACTGTACGGAGTGCCAACAGTTAACTCTACAAATGGACTGTACGGGGTGCCAATAGTTAACTCTACAAATGGACTGTACGGAGTGCCAACAGTTAACTCTACAAATGGACTGTACGGGGTGCCAATAGTTAACTCTACAAATGGAGTGTATGGGGTGCCAATAGTTTACTTGACAAATGGACTGTATGGGGTGCCAATAGTTAACTCTACAAATGGACTGTACAGGATGCCACTAGTTAACTCTACAAATGGACTGTACGGAGTGCCAACAGTTAACTCTATAAATGGACTGTACGGAGTGCCAATATTTTACTTTACAAATGGACTGTATAGGGTGCCAATAGTTAACTCTACAAATGGACTGTATGGGATGCCAATAGTTAACTCTACAAATGGACTGTACAGGGTGCCAAAAGTTAGCTCTACAAATGGACTGTACGGGGTGCCAATAGTTAACTCTATAAATGGACTGTATGGAGTGCCAATAGTTAACTCTACAAATGGACTGTATGGGGTGCCAATAGTTTACTCTACAATAGTACAGGGTTTAACTCTACAAATGGACTCTACTCTACAAATGGACTGTATGGGGTGCCAATAGTTTACTCTACAAATGGACTGTATGGGATGCCAATAGTTAACTCTACAAATGGATTGTATGGGATGCCAATAGTTAACTCTACAAATGGACTGTACAGGGTAACAATAGTTAACTACAAATGGACTGTACAGGGTGCCAATAGTTTACTCTACAAATGGACTGTACAGGGTGCCAATAGTTAACTCTACAAATGGACTGTACAGAGCACCAATATTTCCACACAATATGATGGGAGGCCAAATTGAGTGGTTTGTGACTTTCTTACCGGCAGTACATGAGAAAGAAAGAAATTCATCTTGGATGCTATTCTGCTCTTGCCTCAGATTTCTGTAGATGCAGCGCCTGTGATGGTAACTTCTTCTTCTTCTTCTGCCTTTCTATCCCTCAATGGAGCATAGGCCCTCAACCAACTCACGCCAAGTCGTTCTATCCTTCGCCATTGCATGGAGCTCTCCCCATGTCTTTCCAATCTTTCTAACCTCATTCTCCAGCTCTCTTCTCCATGTGTTTTTTGGCGTTCCTTTATTCCTATGCCCCTGTGGGTTCCAATGCAAAGACATTCTAGTTATGCTGTTCTCCTGTTTTCTCAGTGTGTGCCCTACCCAACGCCAGCGTCTTTTCCTCACCTCCTGATCCACTGGAGCCTGTTTAGTTCTCTCCCAAAGTTCTACATTAGTTATTCTATCATACCATTTTATTCCTTCTATTCTGCGCAGGCACCAGTTAATGAATGTCTGTAATTTATAAGTAATTGCCTTGGTTGTTCTCCATGTTTCGCCCCATACAATAGTACTGATTTGACATTAGAATTAAAAATTTTTACTTTAGTATTTCTTTTAATTTCTTTTGACCTCCACAAATTCCCTAGTGCTATGAAAGCCCCTCTTGCCTTCTGTATTCTTATTTTAACAAGATGTCCAAGCCATCTGATCTTCTGTTGCTCAATGTATTCGCCACAAAATGTTGTTCAACAACCTACCAGAGAGTATAATTTCTTGCTCAGCCTCTGGCCCCTCATCTCACGAGTGTTTATTTTAAGCATTCTTCTTTTTCAGCATTTTGAGCCCTTGATGTTCATTGCTGCAGATATCACCCGCCTCCACTCATCTCTCTGCTGGCCTTCTCTTTCCAATTGGTGACACCAAGTGTTTGCAGGTCTGTCTGGACATTATCTCTCCATATTTTTCTTGGGTCTCTACATCTTCCGTGTGTATACAGTTTTTACTTCTCTGTCATGACATTCTTTCAATACGCTTCAATCATTTCAGTCTATTAGCTCTATGATGCCAGTGATCAGTGGTGATTTAAATGAATTATTTTAACCATGTCGGTTTTTAATAAAGTCTGAGTTGGGCACTGGTATCCCAAGCCAATGATAAGGCATCTGACAATGATGATATAGGATAAATATAATTTTGTTTGAAACAAAAAATGGAAATAACTACTCTTTCCCTTTGGCCATATACGAACACTCAGAAAACAAAATGCTACAATATGTTGTTTGGTTGAAAATTCTCATCACTGCACATGAGTATCTTATTAACCGCTTCAGTCGCCTTGCAAAAATGAGACGGGGGGTGGGGGGGGGGGGGGGCATTTAGCACAGTTTAGAAACTCACAGTCTATATTGCTATATAGGTTCAAATCCTTGGCAAGGTCAGGAAGTTTTCTGTCGTAAGTAAAAACAAAATCCTAACTTGCAGTTTGTGGTGACGGCAATAGCTATGCGACCCTAAATCATCCAGCTTAAAGACCACCCTGCCTAACCCCCCAAAAAAAGAGGTCAATACAGGCAGTAATCTGCAGGGTTTTTATTTTTGTTTCTGTTTTTTGGGGGGCAGAAACTTTGTAGCCCCAGCAATGGTTCAAATACTAGAATCATGAATTCCAGCAAATACTTTTGGTGGAAGATGTTCATTTTTTTTTTTTTACATTGATCTTGGTGGCATTCTATTCAGCCTGGGTTACAATTTACAACTTCTGAGAGATTGTTCACATGCATGTCTATTAGTCCTCAGAATTTTTTACTGACTTTTGCTGCACCTAACGTATGAAATATTTATTGCCAATTTTTAGAGTCCTGGCCAAACATTTTGCAGGAAACAAAATAGAACTGTGGGTAGACTAGTCCAGGTGTTTCTCTAAAATCCAAACTTCAGCACAACATGAGTTTGAATCAAGTAGCTTCAGAGACATACTGGCCGAATGTTTGCCTGCAAGACCAAATGTCTTGGGTCAAATCCGCACCAAGTTGGATGTTTGCAATTTATCTAGGACTCCTAGGTCAACCCAGCCTAATGGTTACCAGAAAAAATTTTCTGGGAGGTAAAGATGGTCTGCGTGATTTTTACCATTTTACTCACTGAGTGCTGACGGGTTAATACAATTGTGGGTCTAGCACTGAATATCTACTGCTTCAGTGGTCAGAAAAGAGCCCTTTTACTTGTACTTCTTAGCATTTAAGGGCTGTAATCTCTGGTAGGAAGTTTTGGTTGTTTGTTAACTTCTGCTTTGGTTATTTTCTGGAACTTTGACTTTTGTGTGCACACCCGTTTGACAGATCCAGCTTAATTATATACATACAGTTGGTTCCTCCCCTCTCAGACAGATATATTCTGACTTTGAAGGAAATATCCCTAATTAGTTGGCTCATATGACAAACTTAATGTTTGGGGGTGGGGGGAGGGGGGAGCAGTGGATCTATTTTTTTCCCCCATTTGGGGATTTTACTTTTAAGAATCTAGGCTACCCTTGAGCTATGTCGTCACATACAAAAACCTGGTCTAGCTAGGGGTTTGTACTCAGGGACCACAGACAGATACCTCATAACAGCACTGGCACGACTTGCCTGACTTTAAATACATTCAGCAGCAAACACAGCAACATAACTGACACTTCTCATACCTAAGTTTTCATTACGTTTCCGAGGAACACTTTTCAGAGCTTCTGGGTTGATCTTGGAATACTCTTCTCTGGTCACACTCATGTAAAAACAGAAATCTGCACCCTAAAAATTAAAACACAACATTACTAATATTGAACCAACGAAAGAACAAACTTTATTTTCAATGGGGTAAGAACTGGGCACACAGGCCCATCTTACATTCTGCATTATTCCATTCACACATTATTTTAGCAGATAATAATAATAACAGACATCATCAACATCTTAGTTACAATGTTCTCTAAGTATACCTACATTTTAAAACAATTATAATACTAAGTATAATCAATCTTGATAGAAGTAAAAAAAAAAAATACTTAGGATACTATCACCTTCTAAGGGGGCATGTAGTCTATAGTGAGATAATTCATCACACACAGTTATAGGACAAAGAAGATATACTGGGCTCATAATGACAAGAAGTGGACACAGAATAACCAAGCAGGTACTGAAAAAGGAAACAAGTAGCTACAAGGAGAAACAAACACATGTGACCGCTAGCCATACATGACCCACCATGACCCAACTGGATGATGATGGTGATGATTTTAATGATGATTATGATTATAATTATGATGATTATAATGACGATGCTTATAATGATGATAATGACTTTAATGATGATAATGACCATAAGAATGATGATCATAATGAAGATGGTTATAATGATGATGATGACTATTATGACTATTATGATTTTAATGACAGTGATTATAATGAAGATTATTATAATTATGATGGTGATAATAATGATTACTATAATTATGATGGTGATTATAATGATGATGATTATAATAATGATGATGATTATAATGATGATTATGGTTATAATGATTATGATTATAATGATGATTATAATGATAATGATGATGATTAAATGATGACGATTTAATATATTCATTTTCCTCATGTGGGTTCCGGGGTCCCATTCCGGTGAAATAGACTCACTGCCTCCCAAACCAGCATATCGTAAGAGTCAACTAATATGAGGGGCTTCCTTCAAAGTCGAAGTGCATCTGCCTGAGAGGCAAGGAACCAATAGTCTGCATAAAAATGTCAAATCTGTAAAACGGATGTGCATGCAACACTCAGGTTCCGAAACAAGTCTAAAATCCAGAGGTCGATGAATAACCAGAACTTTTCCCCGGAGTTTGCAGCCAGTGAGCGGTAAGAAGAAGAAAGAATATTACATTCATTTCCTTCTATTTCCCCAGGCAATTGTTGGTAGATACATGGTAGTGACAGTTGGAGAACCACTAAAGACATGAAAGGAAAATTAAAAACATTTCATTTCATAAAAAAATGCTTGATGCAAATGCTGAACATAAGAATGGGATGAATTTAAGAAGGATGAAGAAATAAGAGAAATGTATGGGCCACCGCTGGTAAGAACAGTTATAAGGCAAGGAAGATGGGGCAATAATGGACACATCCTGAAAAGAAATGAACAAAGAATCACCAAACAGGCAGCTCGAATGGGAAATAAAGGGACTGAGAAAATGAGGATGTCCGAAAAGAAACTCTAAAATGAAAGTGGATGAGAGAGGCCAAGATGCTGGACTGGATTCCATCACTGACATCTAAGAGATTGCACAGAATATAATGGAATGGAGCAGTAGACAGAAAGCATTATGTGACAGATGGCAAAACAGGAAAATGGATAAATGTTGTTAGCAAAGTTATTTTATGTTATGTTATCTTATCACAATCGATGTTACTCCACATTGGGCATTCCCATGCATGCTCAGTCCTCTGATGCAGCAGCCACTCCAAGGTAATTCTACTAATTGTTTCCATAAGAGGTTGGTTATAATGTCTCCTATCTCAGTCTCAAAGGTCACATAGATGTGCTTCACTATGCTTTACTCCCATGTCACACAATCATGTTAGTGTCAGAGATTCGTCATTATCCACTAGCCCAGTACAGCATTGATGATATCTGTTCTGTCCATGCTTCTTCCCACATGCGCTGGTAGCACTGCTTGCCCAGTTGGTCCGCTCACCCATCATCCTTTACCACCACATTGAGGGAGGTTAAGTGCGATTTTTAGAATGTTTTCTAACCATTCAGAGCGCATACCACCTTTTGCTATCTTCTAAAGCATGTTCATAGAGTCTGATACAACTACTGCAAGTGTAGATGTTTGCTCTGATGCCTATGCAGCAGCTATGTCCATGGTCATGCCCGATGTAGTTGCCTGGTAAATGCCCCTGTCATCTTGCATTGTTTTCCCCATTTTTTGCGCTGTGTATGCCCATGCTGACCTTAATCTGTGTAGGTTATGATGTCTTCTGGGTGTAAATGCTGATTCACTAGTGCCCTTACCTGTGTCTATGGTAGCAGGAATCTGACCCCTGCAGTATCTTCCTAGTATTATAAAACCTTAGAGATGCCATGCATGTCTACTGGTGTATTCATCCATTTTTTTCCGTGACTGATCATGTCTAGGTCACATATCTGCTGGATTAAAGCCTTTGCCATCCAAGAGAGGGCTCTTTTGAGACTTGTTCCTTTTGTGTTGTGTATAGCTTTGTGCAGTGGGTGGTTAATGTCTGCTGGTTATCCTTGTGTACGCCTTGCCATGATCGATGTTGTGTCTGTTAGCCATGGTCGGCAAACCTAGGACATGGCACAGTGTTGCAGGTGTTTTTTGTGCAGCCGAGTAAGAGTCTCATGGCCTCATTTTGTACTCAGCCCAGTCTTTCTAACTGGGTTTTGCTGACAGTGAGTAGGCCCAGACCATAGTCAATGACGCTTAATACAAGCCCTTGAAAGAAAAGTAGGTATTGTTAAATATCAGCTTCTGCTAGCACCTTGAGTGCTGTCAGATCTTTCCTGGCTCTAATTGTGACACTGTTTACATGACACTTGTATGACAAGCATATGTCAAATGTCATGCCCAGGTATTTCATGGTATCTGTTATCTCAGTGTCCACAGCACACATGCTTACGACTGGCGTGGGTGTACTGACAATGTGGGTATTCAGACAGAGCCCTGTTAAGGAGGCCTTTGACGGGTTCACTTGTCCTCTCGATTCCTGGCATCACTCACTCAGTCTATCTAGTTTGTGTTGTAGGTATCAAGGTTGTAATTTGGTGCCTGTTTATACCCTGATGGTACACAGGGATATCATCTGCATATGACCCCAGTGTGGGTTCCAGGGCCCTATTATTGGGAAAAACAAGAATAGACCCACTGCCTACCCAAATGTCGTAAGATTCAACTAATTGGGAGCTTCCCTCGAAGTCAGAGTGCATCTGCCTGAGAGGCAAGGAACCAACAGTCTGCAGAAAAATGCGTCAGATCTGTCAAACGGATGCACACGCAACACTCAGGTTCTGGAACAGGACTGCAGTCCAGAAGTGAATGAACAACAAGAACCTTCCACCTGAGTTTACAGCTGGTGAACACGAAGAAGAAGAAGATCTGCATAAGATATTTTTCTGCCCAGGCCTACACTTTGTGCACTGGTGACTCCTGCTGAGTACACAGTGAAGAGCACTGGCTAGCATTAGACTGTGCTAGAGGAAAGCATGGGAATCACGCCTCATGGGGATGGTGAGTGCCACCAGAAAGACATGCTCATACTAAGAAAAGTCTTCTAGAATTAAAGCGCAGGATTTCAGGACTGTTGTTATGAAAAAGTTCCAAGAGGTAGAATGTGGTAGCATTGTGGCTAAACACCTACCTGCCAATCTGAACATCTTGGTTCAATGCTCAAGGTTCAATACTCAGCGTTCAATACTCAGGGTTTGCTACTCGAGGTTCAATACTTAGCAGTCAATACACAGGGTTTGCTACTCAGGGTTTGCTACTCAATGTACAATACTTAGCAGTCAATACTCAGGGTTTGCTACTCAATGTACAATACTTAGTAGTCAATACTCAGGGTTTGCTACTCAATGTACAATACTTAGCAGTCAATACTCAGGGTTTGCTACTCAATGTACAATACTTAGCAGTCAATACTCAGGGTTTGCTACTCAATGTACAATACTTAGCAGTCAATACTCAGGGTTTGCTACTCAATGTACAATACTTAGTAGTCAATACTCAGGGTTTGCTACTCAATGTACAATACTTAGCAGTCAATACTCAGGGTTTGCTACTCAATGTACAATACTTAGCAGTCAATACTCAGGGTTTGCTACTCAATGTACAATACTTAGCAGTCAATACTCAGGGTTTGCTACTCAATGTACAATACTTAGCAGTCAATACTCTTGTTAGCAGTACAATACTTAGCAGTCAATACTCAGGGTTTGCTACTCAATGTACAATACTTAGCAGTCAATACTGAGGGTTTGCTACTCAATGTACAATACTTAGCAGTCAATACTGAGGGTTTGCTACTCAATGTACAATACTTAGCAGTCAATACTGAGGGTTTGCTACTCAAGGTACAATATGCAGTGTTCAATACTTAGCGTTCAATACTCAGGATTTGATACTTGGGGTACGATATTTAGGGTTCGATACTCAGGGTTCGATACTCAGCAGTAGAGATAAAAACAAAGTTCACCTTTAATTTATACTGTGGTCCTGGATTCAACTGTAATCGAGGTGATGAGGCTTCAGAATCAAGAACCGCCAACAAGGCCACACCAAATCTACAACAACAATAAAATGCAAGAGACGACTGTTAAAAATGTAGAGACAAACACTCGATCATCTTTTAACTGTTAGTCTGTCTTTCCTACAATTGATGAAGTACATACAGTGGTAGCTCGGTATACAGTCACTTTTGTATATGATCAGCTTGGTACATGTCCTGTTTAGATTAAAAACTTGTGCTTTGGTATAGGACCTTTGTTTGAAATATGAACTTGTATGAGTCTTAATTAGTCACAACACAGAGTATACTCTTTGTTTCGTCTCTGAGACAAAGCGATGAATAGATGTCAAAAACTTTGCAGAGAAGAAGCATCCCAACGAAAGCCCAAACAAGCTGTAATAGCATTGTCTGAAATGACTAGACAATGTCAAATTTCCAAAACATCATGAACAGAAGCAAACTTCTTTGGGCCGATGGTTAGTAAGTCACACCTGATGAGCTTCGACCAGGTCCAAATAGCAAAAAGAGACAGGGAAAAAAAAGGGATGGGGTGGAGAGGGTGGTGGGGACAGAATTTCAGATTCCTAAAATTTTACTGGAAGATGACTCTCCTTCCAAACAATAACATCTCCTCTTCCCTTCTTCCTACTACCCTAGTAGTTACTTGACTTTTCTGTCAATTTGTTTATTATACTCATTTTTAAGAGACTGGCATCCTCAAAGCCAGTCCTCAGTCATTTCAAATAAAACAGTGCCAGAATCTTAACCCTTTGAGCAGTGATTCCCAAAATGTGTGTCATAGTGCCCCAGGAGCTGCAACCTTTTCACAGGGGTGCTGCAAAATATTTGAAGGTACACAAGTTTTTTTTTTTTTTTTTTTTAAATCTTTCACACACGAATAGTCATACTTTTACTGATGTTAGGGTGCCATGGAAAACTTTTTATTGAAAAAAAGGGCCGTGACCAAGAAAGGTTTGGGAAACACTGCCCCTTGAGGACCACCCTCCATACCCCAACATTCTGTCGCCATCACAGTGTCCTGTTGTGCGATTATATGTCACACAGGGCTTCCAGTCTATTCCTATATTCTATTCTATCCTATGCAATCAAGTCAATATCATGAGTGGAGTCCAGCATCTTTGGCCTCTTTCATCAATGTTCATTTTTCTCTGATTTCTTTTCCCCTCCTGAATTCATCTCATTTTATGTTCAACATTTTCCTCAAGCATTCTGTGGTCGTCTTAAAATGTCATCGAAACTGTTTAATTTTAGATTTCCGTTATCCGTGTGGGTTCCAGGACCCATTGGAGGGAGGGGGGAGGCATTCCCCCACCTACTACAATAAACATGTCATCTTCTTAAAGTCCATGCCATGTGGCCTTGGTAGTCATGCCTATTCACAACCTTCTGTCTTGTGTACTTTCAATCTACCGTACCAAAGATGATCCTCCATGCCATGACACCAAACTTTCCAGCATCTTTTTTCTCTTACATCTTCTACCTCTCCTCCTCTCCTGCTTTCCTACTGTCACAGTTAACTCCAGTTTAAACATGTCATACAAAGAAATTAATTAGGGCTGAAAGGGGAGATATCCCAGCCAGCCTTCCTGTAAACCACTCCCAGCCTTTTATATACAAACACAGAAGTAATTTTCAGTTACTGAAACCAATGTTTTCTTTGTGTCAGACACTGCTGGCAAGATTTACCTGTGATGTGCATCAGCCGAAGCTCTGGGGAAAGTTTCCCCCTCATACTGGCTGAAGAAGACACTCTTCTGCAGCTGAATGTGGTAGATTTCATTCCCTGAGTGCCTGCCATAAACTTGCTGCCATGGTTCTGAGGCCATCATACCTTCTCTACAAATACAGGTAATATTCATTACAAAGCATGTCCTCCATGGGGTGTTTATTAACTGTGGTTATGTACAGAGTGATTCATAAGTAATTCTTTTCTTCTTCTCCTTCTTCTTTGCATTCACCGGCTGTAAACTCTGGCAAAAAGTTCTGGTTGTTCATCCACCTCTGAACTTTAGACTTGTTCCAGAACATGAGTGTTGCATGCACATCCGTTTTACAGATCTGACATATTTGTAAGCAGACTGTTATTTACATTAATTCTGGTCACAGATTTGTTGTGTTTGGTCTTTAATCTATGAAAATATAATCTATAAATTTAATATATTTGTATCTCTGTTCAGGATTGATTATTTTGTTTGAAATTTGGAAGCCCTTCAAACACAGGGAGTCACCCTGGTGTAGCAGCTAGACACTTGCCTGTGTATCTGAAGGTCATGGGTTTGGATCCTGTTTGAGCCAGATATTTTTTTTTTCAAAAATTACTCCACTCCAGGATTGATCCAGCCTTGAGGTGGTACCAGGTGCAGTCCTGGGAAGTGTAGGCGGCCGGCATGATACTGACCATATCACCCACCAAGTGCCGATTGGTCTATAAAATATAGGTCTAGCCAAATATGCCCAATACGCCCGAAGGTGTGGAAAGGGTCCTTTACTACTTAACATTTTTTTACTTACAAACATGGCTGGATGGCTAACCTTGCAGAAGCGTGCCCAGTTAGCGGTACATATGAAGTTTGAAAATCCATTGTTCAAATGCAGAGATGGTGCCCATAGAGAATTTCAATTAAATTTACATATTACATTATCATACATTAAAGATCAAACACACACAAAAATAGAGGCAGAAATTACCATAAATATATAATTTATAACTATTTTTAAAATAAGCAGTTGCTTTTCAGTCATTGTATATGTGCATGTTTGCGGATCAATGACAGGGAGACGGTTGGGACAGACATACAGATGGTACAATTTTTACTATCTGTATTTACCACTTAAGGAACCGATGAAGGACAGGGAGGTTTTGAGTCTAAGGCTTTAGGGCTGCATAGTTAAGCCGATGCAGGTGCCAATAACTGTGCAGGTTAGGATTCTGTGTGTGCACCTGACAAAAAATGTCCACCCTTACTGAGGACTAAACCTGAGTCTCCTGGCACTCTAACTACTCAACCAGCCTCTCCTCACACATACATTTTGTGTGTGTGTGTGTGTGTATGGGGGGGGGGGGGAGGTACCCTCTTGCCCTGGGAACACTTACAAATTTTACCTGTTGGAATTCCAGAAAATTCCAGAAGATTCATCAGAATGAAACAAGTTTACACAATTTACAATTAATTTATTTAAAATGTGTCTTAATTTCTCCCCCAAAAAAATGTATAATTATATATGAAAGGGGTAATGTAAAAATATGAACAGAGTAAAGCATTAAATGGAATACATTCCCCAGACCTAAAAAAAAAAAAAATACATATGTATCAGGTGATTCATGCTGTGACCTCCTGACCTCTAACACCAAGGCTTACAGGAAAATTTGAGACAAACTTGGCTTTAGAAAAAAGTAATTTGGCCAAAATAAAATTTAAATAATGTGAACACAAACAACACACTGCGCAATTTCTAGCCTGGCATATTTTGCTGCATCTTGTCAGAACAAATTGTGCAATGTATTGTTTGTGTCTGCATTATTTAAATTTACAATGGGAAGACATTGTTTTGAATTTCAAAGACAATTCTAAATGCTTGCACAGCCAAAAGCATTAACTATGTGTCTCAGTGACATTTACGGGAAATGGATCCAACCGGAAGTGTCGGTTATGTGGCTTCTTATGGTAGATAATGGTTTGAAGTGTGCACTGTCAGGTGCTGTAATAATGCCAAACGGTTCTTGTAGTCCATACCATGAGGTACCGGTAATAATGTCTGTTTGAGGTTTGAACAAAAGATCAACATTATGGCACACGGGTAGTAACCCATAAGTGCTCCGTTCTTCTTCTAACTTAAGTCTGAGTCTGAAGAAGCTCAGCACAGAGCACAGGCTCTGTAGCACCAGCGAGAATCCTGAAATACTTTTGGGTAGATTTTCAACTCCAAATTGTGCCCTGGCAGCACCGTTAGGCTACTCTTTTAATTTCCAACTGCCAAGGGATTTTTTAGGTGCGCAACAATGCACACGGGCGTCCGATCTCACTACCCAGAGACCATGGGTAATTACTAGAAGTCCAAGTCCACGTGAAAAAATTCCAGCCCTTACCGGGGATTGAACCCGGAACTTCTAGCGCTCGGGGCGTACACCCTGCCTTGAGACCACGCAGCCCCCACAATCTGTCCACATCCTTATGTGATGTACTATTATGTTTCCTGAAATTAGGACCTACCTCAAAAAACAAGCACTTACCCAAATTGCTTTTAATTTTTATGTAAACCCTACCCCAAAAATAAGTCCTAGTTAAAACTGTCAGAAAAAGAGAATAATTCTACAAGAAATGGGGTCCATGGAGATTCAAGCTGGAATTCAGGATTTAGACAGTTATGACAATGTTCTAGACTGTTTCTGAACAAATGTATAACTCTGCACAAGAATAAATGTAGATTTCTGTATCTGAAAAAAAAAAAGATAATCCCTGAAAGTAAGCCCCAGTTTATTTTTTAAGCAAACATTTATATAAGGCAGGATCTTATTTTCACAGAAACATGGTATCAATCACTTTCTAATCAGGAATATTTGCTATGATGTCAAATTGTTTAGCATCTCATCTCATAGTCTCCATTTGCCTCTTTTCCCATCAACTGCCCTGTTGTCATGACGTACTCTAGTTATCCCTTGGCCAACTACCACCTAGCAAAATTGTGTGCCATGCAAACAAAAGTAGATTTCCATTGTATTGTGAGTCAGTAAATGTATTCTGACATAATCTAGTTATATGTGGGTGTGTTATGTTTCATGGCAAAGAAGGATTATAACATAGGTTTATCATCGCCATCATCAAGTGCCTTGCCAGCTGGCGTATGCGTTCATGCATCTCCACAGATCTCAGTCTTTGGTGTTCTGGATCAATTCCGCTGATGATATTCCTCGATGCCACTGTCTTAAGCCATCCGCTATTATTTCTCTTGGTTTGCCTCAGCCTTTTCTACCAGTGATCTTTCCAGTCGTCACAATATTCTCCAGTCCTCCGTTTTTTTTAACGCTTATCACAGCTTGCCAAAAATTGTTAATCATCTTTCTATGGGAATAAACATTTCAGAGGAAAACATATTTTTTCTTCTCAGCTAAAATACATCATAATATTCAGTGCAGTTTTATCTGTTAGTGCGAAATATTTAGTAAACTTTAGGAAGTCGCCATGGCCGAGTGGCTAGATGATAGCCGCTGATCCGAAGGTCGTAGGTTCGCTCCCTGGCGGAGCCGGACATTTTAAAAAAATGACCTTGGCTCCCAGGTCGACCCAGCCTTGAGTGGGTACCGGGTGCCGCCCGAAAAGTAAAGGCGGCCGGCGTGATGCTGACCTCATCACCCATCTTGTGCCAATTGGTCTATACAAATTTAGGTCTAGCCCTATATGCCTAAAGGCGTGGAAAAGGGTCCTTTACTTTACTTTACTTATATAGTAAACTTTAATGTAAAGATAATACATTAAAAGAAAAAAAATCAGGGTCAATCGAAACTGAAAGTGTTTCTTTTCATAGGCATCATTTCTCCCCAATATCTTCTAACTGAGCCACTGGGATGGAGACTGAGCCATATGGAGTAAAACCTGGTGCGATGAGGTAAATCCTTTCGACTTTACATTTTATTTTATAACTATATATAATTCAAATGCAATACTCTTCGTCAATTGATCCAGTTGTTAAATAACGCATTGTTCTAGTAATCACAAAGGCAGGCTGGATGACTGTGTTAAGTGAAACTACAATAAACTTGACATGCATAAAAACAACACAACATCCATGCACTAGGAGGCATTAACACATGCACATACCTAACATTGGTGGAGAATTGTGAAATGGCAGATGGATAATTAAACTAACTAATCAAAACAGCACTTTTTGTTGGCTGACATGCAATAGTAACAGGGAAATCTATACATGCTAACAACACAAATAGTCCACACAAGAAATATGCAAACATTTGGGATAAAGTTGATTTAGCAATAAGGCTTCATTGATTGTGTAAAACAAATGTAACCATCTTGCTGTTGGGAGTCTTCACTCAGGACCTCTTTATTAGCAAGTAAGTGTACAACTAAATCCCAATAAATTATATCATAATATACATTTACTGTCTAGCTCCTTTTTTTCTTTCAAGAAACAACAACAAAACAAAAAACTATGGTTGTCACAGAAAAAAAAGAGACTTTAAAAAAACAAATTAGTGGTGCTCATGTTTTGGATGGGTTGACCTGGGGGGAGGGGGGGGGGGGGGGTGGTAATTTCGCCATTAAGGTGATTTGAACAGATGCCAACAAGGGTCAGGCAGGCAGCCACCAGTATACTAGCCACTCCACTGAAAAAAAGCTCCCAAAAACCAAACCACAATTTTTTTCCCCATTTGTTTTTAGATTTTGGGTTATGCTGGAAGGGAGCTGGAAGAAGCAAAAGGCCACTTAGTAAAACTAAATAATTACCTAAACTGAAGCCAAGGCTTGTTCCAGAACTATTAATATCCTCATGCTGCAAAACACACTGGACAAAAAAATGCTGGTACTCACAGCAAAGTGCCTAAAACAATGCCGGTATTCAACACAATGTCTGTTACAGATTCACTGAAAAATGTATACCAACAGAAAAAAAGAGGTGCTGCTATTATGCACTGTTGCACACCGCCAACAATAAAGCTTGGATTCTGACTATTTCTAAACTCAAAGCAGCAAAACTAATACTGCAGGAAAAGGTTTTAACACTTTCCTGCAAGCCGCCTGCTTTACAACAGTGGAAACTGGTCAACAGAGGTCAGAAATGGGACTAGCCACAGCAAAGCAGGAATTTAAGCTATTTGACCA